AAGCACCCACATACAAACTTTGTACACGCGAAGTTCGAAAAGCACAAGTGCACAAACACAGTGCTTGATGGTGGATTAGATCCAGCATCCAAAGAGTAGATTCTCACGCACAGCCATAAACAATGCAACCGTAGTCTAGCTTAGACCGGACAATGGCCCTATAAATCCTGACCATCGAAACTTTGTCTGCTCCCCAAGATGAGCAGCATAGTACCTTTAAAAGGTTTAGAAATTTAAGATATCTACTCTTCAAGTTGTGCAAATGTAGCAAAAATGTCAGTTTTGGGTCAAAATAAACACCCAATAACTTATCTTCATTCACCATTGGAATTTTATCCCCATTTAGGTAAATTTCCGCATCAAGGTGCAAACCATGCCTTTGGCAAAAGTGAATGCATGATGTCTTCGCTGCATTAAATGTAAACCCATTGGTCTTGGACCAATTATATATGTGATTTAGGGAAGTTTGAAGTTGTCTCTCAATGAAACTCATATTACTAGACTGACAGGAGATCTGAAAGTCATCCACATACAGAGTGTTTCACACTGGGAGAAACACAGTTAGCTATACTGTTAATTTTGATTAGAAACAGAGTCACGCTCAAAATAGAACCTTGAGGTACACCTTCTTGTGTGAAGAGCCTAAATAAAGTGTTGCCCATCCTGACTTGGAATCTACAATTCTGTAAATAGTTTTTATGAACATTGGCAAATTACCCCGCAATCCAAATTGGTACAGATCACAGTCTCCCATAACGCCAACAGCAATCATAGGCCTTCTCTATATCAAAAAACACAGACACGAAGTGATTTCATCTAACAAATGCTTCGCGTATACATGTTTCAAGGTTTACTAAGTTATCAGTGTTACTTCTGTTCCTACGAACACCACTCTGATTTGGTGAAAAGTATTCCTTTTTCTCTAAGAGATACATTAGACGTCTGTTTACCATCCTCTCAAAAAGTTTACAGAGACAACTTGTCTAAGAGATAGGTCTATAATTAGAGGGATTCTTGCGTTCTTTACCTGGCTTGGGAATGGGGATAATGATAGATAGCCTCCAAGAGTCAGGAAAAGTATGTTCCGTCCATATTCTGTTAAACAGATTTAGAAGATTACAAAGAGAATTGTTTGACAGATTTTTAATCATGCTGTAATAAATTTTATCTCGGCCTACAGCACTATTCCCAGAGCGAGAGGTTGGTTGGTTGGTTTTGGTTTTTTGGCGCAAGAGCCATATAGGCTAAGCTGCGCCAAAGCAAATGGCGAAAAATTTTTATATAACNTGTGTTTAACACTTACAGCACAGTTGCAGTGCTGACATACTGTTCGTCATCTCCCTTCAAAAGTTATTGATGAGTCAGTCGAGTGTGTCCAATTCTCAAACGAGTAAGGATAACCTCAGATCTCCTATCATATTGCCTATTATGTGTCCAATTTTATACCAAAAATTTGATCTTGTAAAGTTTATTGTGGATTTGTGCATTCCACATGATTTGCCATCTCTCTGCTAGTCGTTTTTTAACGACCAGCTTAAAATCACCTCCTTCAATACGCATTGTATGCTGTGAAGGACATGCTGACTTAGCAGCTGTATCAGCTTCTTCATTACCTCTTATACCCAAGTGGCCTGGGACCCAACAAAACTTCACAAAAAAATTTCTCGTAGTGAGATGACAAATTAGTTTTCAAATTTTAATAACTATAAAGTGAGAACTACGTTCATACGAGATCAAAGCCTGCAGTGCACTAACTGAGTCAGTGTAAATCACGCAGCAACGATGACCTTTCCGATTTATATACTTTAAAGCTAAATAAATAGCCTGCAACTCAGCAGAAAAGATGGGAAAATTCGGTGCTATTTGTTCTGCCACAATTTTATCCTGGCAAACAAAGGCTAAGCCAACATAGTAATCCGATTTAGATCCATCGGTATATATAGGAATTATATTCCTGTTACGATGCTGAATTTTTGCGAAGTACTGTCTATAGACGCAGTCTGGCGTGGTTTCTTTAGGGAACTGCTTTAAGCTTAAATCAACATCGATCGGTGAAGTTGACCAAGGTGGGATACGTATGCACCCAGAAGAAATCGAGCCACAGTCACGAAAGTCGGTACGAATGTAGTCTGGTAAGAGATATGCAAATTATAAAAATTTTGTCGCCAATGAGACAAGGTTAACGGTGGTACGAGCATATGATATGTGCAGCTGGGAAAGTTTAAAAGCATGAGTGCTCGCGCTGTAGGGCTATTTAAACGAATCTGTCAACTTGGATGAATGGTATTGTGAATAGAGGTGCCTCAGAGACTTAACAGGCAGCAGTACAAGCAGTTGATGGAGTTTGAAAGGGGCCATATAGTAAGCCTCAGAGAAGCTGGTTGGTTGAACAAGCGTATCGGCCGCCACCTCTGTCGAAGCGATATGGTACTTGCTCGGTGTTGGCAATAGTGGATGACGGAAGGGAGAGTCTACCATCATGCAGGGTCAGGACGTCCCAGACACACAAATGAGCGCGAGGATCGTGCAATCAGAAGAGCGGCAATGTCCGCACCAACAACATCGCTATCATTGATTCAACGCCATTTACCACCTTCCAGGCATCCGGTGGCATCAAGAAAAACCATTAGGAGACAACTGGCTGAAGCTGGTATAAGGTGCCAACGTCCATTAAGACGCTTACCACTGACCCCACATCATAAGCAGTGTCAATTGGATTTTTGCCTACCTCAGGCAAGTTGGAGTGTGACCGACTAGAGGCGTGTGGTCTTCAGCGATGAATCCCGATTCAGTCCGAGTGCTGATCACCACTGAACACGCATGTGGCTTGGCCAGCGGTCCGGTCCGGCATTTGTTGTCGAGCGGCATACAGCGATTACACAAGGTGTGACAGTGCATGGAGTGATTTGTTATGACACACGATCACCTCTAGTTGTCCTTCAAGGCAACATGACGGGTCGCAATTACGTGGATAGCATTTTAACGCCGGTTGTACTGCCTATTCTATCAAGTCGCCCAGGTGCCATTTATCAGCAGGATAACGCTCAACTACATACTGCGAGACTCTCCCAACAATGTCTTCAAGGATATGATGTAATTCCATCGCCTGCCAGGTCACCAGATCTCTCGCCAATAGAGCACGTCTGGAACGTGTTCGGAAGGCAAATGCAGCCGTCTCGTGATACAAGTGAATTAACTGCCCAGTTGCAAAGATTATGGCGTGATCTTCCGCAAGGGGTCATAGGTGACCTAATTGATTCGATGCCATGCCGTGTTTCGGCTTGTATAGCTGCCAGAGGTGGCTTTACTACTTACTCATTTGTAACGTTTTTCATGCCATAACTTCTTAATAAAATAATCTTTTGTACTGATTTTTTAATCATTTGCATATGTCTTACTAGTCTACATTCTTACCGACTTTCATGATTGTGACTCAATTTCTTCTGGGTGCATACATTTTTTGCGACAGAGTGTATAAAGAAGTTTTATTTAATACCGAACTATTGAGACATCAGCAGTACAGTATTAAAAGTAAAAACCATGTTGTAACAACATATCTTCAAAATAAAATCTCTCTCTCACCATTTTATAAAACAAATTTATTTCTGATAATGGTATAGATGTGATATCGTTCAGGTTGGTTGGTTGGTAATGGTTTTTTGGCACAAGAGCCATATAGGCTAAGCTGCGCCATAACAAATGGTAAATAATTATAAACGTCACAAATAAAAAACATATGACAAATATAAATAAATAAACAACAGCAACAGCAACATACATATTAATAACAAACAAGAACAAGCAAAAGGCTAAAAGATAAATAAATAGATATATAAATAAATAAAGAATTAAATTNGATTATTGTGCCATTATTTTCCAGCATGGACAGAGAGTGAGAAGCATATTTCCCATTAATTTTATGGATTTTATCCCAGACTGCTTTTGAGCTAGATGATGATGTTATGCTAGAAACATACTTCCGCCAAGAATCCCTTTGGCTTTGCCTTCTAACTCTTCTGGCATTTGCCTTTGCTTTTTTAAAAGCAATCAAATTTCTAGCAGTGGGGTATCTTCTGAATATATCCCCCATGCTTTCTTTTGTGCTTTAAATGCGGCCTCACAATTCTGGTTCCACCATGGTTTCGGATGCTTTGGGTATCTTGTTGATGTTTTCCCCATTGTTTTTTCAGCTGCCTGAATAATACTAAAAGTGACAACTTCAACTGCATCATTGATATCAGCAGTATTGACCATTTCCTCAGTGATATTAGCCAAAGAGGAAAATGCAGGCCAATCTGCTGTTTCCAGTTTCCAGCGTGGTGGACGGGCTGTTTCACAGCTTTCTCTGCCTTGGTATTTTAGAAATATTGGGAAGTGGTCGCTAGAGAGTGGATTAGATCCAACCTCCCATATAAATGCTGAGAACAGGTTTGGGCTAGCTAAGGACAAATCAATGACAGTGAACGTTCTTGTTGGAGTATGAAAGTATGTCACTTCTCCCGTATTAAATAAATATAGTTGCTGATTGCTTATGAAACGTTCAATGGCTCCGCCTCGACGATTGATGTCGGGACTGCCCCACATAGGATTGTGGCCATTGAAATCTCCCAATAAAAGGAATGGAGTTGGCAGCTGTTCAACTAATGCATCCAATTCATCCTCATTGACTCTGACATCTGGTGGCAAGTATATAGAACAAATTGTGACAGTAACTCCAATAGATATTCTGACTGCCACAGCTTGCAAATCAGTGGTGATTTGTACCGGCAAGGATGGGATGTGATTTGAAACTACAATAGCCACACCTCCACTGGCACGGTTGTGGCTATCATCGTCCTTGCGGTAGAGATGGAATCCTTTTAAAGTAATGCTTTCTCCAGGTTTCAAATGAGTCTCCTGGAGTGCCACATAGAGAGATGAGGTAGATGACGTCAAGTGTTTAATGTCAGAGAAGTTGTTGCGGAAACCACGACAGTTCCATTGGATTATTTTATAATCCATTATGTGTTTGAGGCAGCATTCTTTGCGAGGGTATCCCTCTTTAATTTAATAGGGGGTTTCTCTTTTGAAGGTGACATTGGTTTCGTAACCTCCTTGTGAGTCTCTTCTTCAGAGAAGTCAGAGAACTCACTCATAGATTGAGCCTCTAATTTTTTAGATTTAGAGAGAGCAGCTTTCACTCTCTGTTTGTTTAACGGGTTCTTAATTGCCTTTTTGAAACCCAGGTTTCGTGTTATTACCCCTGTTTTAGGTAGGGGTGTTTTCAGTTTTATATTTTCTTTTTCTGGTGTTTGGGTGGATGGTGTAAGTAAACATTTTGCATGACGTGTGAGAGATTCATTTGGGGAAACAGAAATATCTGTTTGAACCCCACATGTCTTTGTAGACTTCAAAGCAGCTGCAAATGTCTTCTGTTTCAAGGGGACACTTAAAGTGACCATGGGCCGAGCCTCTGGATCCGATATGTTGTTAACTGTTTTTATGCGCTGAATCTCTTTCTCTCTTTGCCATGCAGGGCATTTCCGAGAGTAGGCAGGATGGGCATCCTTGCAGTTTACACAGCATGGAGTGCTGGTACACTCAGTACTCTGGTGGCCTTCAACTCCACACTGTGCACATAAACTTTTGCCTCGACAGGATGTTTGGGAATGTCCAAATCGCTGGCATTTGAAACAACGCAGCGAGTTTGGAATATATGGACGAACCGAACAGCGCAAATATCCTGCGGTAAGAAAGGATGGTAATGTTGGTTTATTAAATGTGACAATTAGATGTTTTGTAGGAATTATCTTGCCATCTCGACGAATGGAGATGCATCGTACGGCAGTAACTCCTTGATCTGAAAGGCCGATCTGAATATCTGATTCGTCCTCACACATCAAATCGATTTCAGATATCACACCACGTGATGAGTTCAAACTTGTGTGTGGTGTGATAATGACTTGTATGTCTCCTAGAGATTTCATTTTCAATAGTTTTTCAGATTGTTGAGGGGAGGCTGCTTCTACTAGCAGATCTCCTGATCTCAACTTTTGGATTTTTTTAAGATGCCCAATGGTAGATTCAAAAAGTTTCTGAATCAAAAAGGGGGAACGTTTAGAAAGAGTTGTTTCTCCCATAGCATGCACTATGAGATAGGCTGGTTGGTTGGAGGAACTGTCCTCCTTTGGTGGTAGTGCATTGGTACATGATTTTTTTAGTTTTAATGAATCCATATTTAAAAATAAGTATTCAGCTCCTAGTGACCCCACCCACCACGGGGCCCAACAAGGGGATGCCGTCACATGGGAGAGTCCCATTGACCGTCACACCAGGGTTTCCCAGGAGCTATACCCTCACAATGCAGTCAAGAAGAGCACATCTTGTCTGTCGTGTCTGCCCGGTCTGCATCGATCAGTTGACTCCAAGCCGAAATGAAGAATGACTCAACGACCAGCCGATTGACTCAAACAGAGCCTGGTTTGAGCCTCCCGTTTATCCGAAGCAGAGGCCAAAGCAGTGTGTTGGGGACGTTATGTTGCCCCTCAACTACCAGGATCCCCCTTTCCGGCATACAGGACACCACGCACGGCAAACACGTGGGTGGGCGTTCAGATCCCACGGATGGTAAAGAAGAGTATCTAAACCATATCTGGGAGGTCCCCTCACCATGGACAGGAACCCACATCGAGGGGCCCAGAGCGAGAGATCTCTGTATGTAATTCAATTTTAGTGAATGGCACATTATATTCCTCATTAGATTAGGAGTGGAAGTTTAAATGTTGTTTTTCAGGTTGGGCTTTATAAACCTGAAAATTCTTTGAACACATAATATTGCTGGATGAAGCAAAAAATGTTTCACCCAATAAATCAGCAATACCCTGTATGTCGCTGATTGTTGTGCCATTATTTTTCAGCATAGACAGGGAGTGGGAAGCATATTTCCCATTAATTTTGTGGATTTTATCCCAGACTGCTTTTGAGCTAGTGGAAGATGTTATGCTAGAAACATACTTCCTCCAAGAATCCCTTTGGCTTTGCCTTCTTATTCTTCTGGCATTTGCCTTCGCTTTTTGAAAAGCTATCAAATTTCTACGTATCTTCTAAAAATTTCCCATGCTTTCTTTTGTGCTTTAAATGCTGCCTCGCAATTCTGATTCCACCATGGTTTCGGATGTTTTGGATATCTAGTTGATGTCTTCCCCATTGTTTTTTCAGCTGCCTGAATAATACTGGAAGTGACAACTTCAACTGCTCATTAATATCAGCAATATTCATCCTCCGTAATGTTGGCCATAGAGGAAAAAACAGGCCAATCGGCTGTTTCCAATTTCCAGCGTGGTGGACGGGCTGTTTCACAGCTTTCTCTGCCTCAAAATTTTAGAAGTATTGGGAAGTGGTCACTGGAAAGTAAATTAGATCCAATCTCCCATGTAAATGCTGAAAATAGGTTCGGGGTTGCTAGTGATAGATCAATGGCAGTGAATGTTCTTGTTGAGGCATGGAAGTATGTTACTTCTCCCGTATTAAATAAATACAGTTGCTGGTTGCCTATAAATCTTTGAATGATCCTGCCTCGACAATTAATGTCGGGACTGCCCCACATAGGATTATGGCCATTAAAATCACCTAGTAAAAGAAACGGAGTAGGCAACTGTTCAACCAAAGTATCCAATTCATCCTCGTTCACTCTAACATCTGGTGGCAAGTATATAGAGCAAACTGTGACAGTTACTCCAATAGAAATTCTGACTGCCACAGCTTGTAAATCAATGGTTATTTGTAACGGCAAAGATAAGTTTCATTTGGAAACCAGAATAGCCACACCACCACTGGCACGGTTGTGGACATCATCATCCTTGCGGTAGAGATTAAATCCTTTTAAAGAGATTTTTTCTCCAGGTTTTAGATGGATTTCCTGGAATGCCACATAGATGTGAAATTCGAAGTTCATATAATTTCATAACAAAGTAATCCTTTAAATTTTTAATAAAGGTAAATAACAAAAACACAAACAAAATGTAAAGTACTGTACATGAGAAATTTATAACTCTTTCTATTTAACTATAAACATTCTCACTATCAATCTGTGAATAGTTTACAATTATCGACAAAATTCGTCATATTGTTGTCATTCTAACACCAACTTTAACCCCACACCTGCGATAACAATTGGTCACCTGACGAATTTTCCCACCACAAAATGTATAAAAGCCATCCTCCTTCCCCTCTCACAAGAGTCACCCATCGAACGTCCAAGACAAACCTTCACTTCCCGTTGACCTACTGTACAACGCTAATTAGAAGACCTTGTGTCCAAACTCGCACCACCTTTCAGAAAGCCGGGGTATCCATCCGATACTATCCCAGAGGTATGAAATATTATTGTAAACTCTCTCTCTCATCCGCAAAGTCTAAAGAGTTTTGTATAATTTTCATTTAGTTAGCTAGTTAAATAAACTGTTGTTTTGTTTTAAATGGTCCCATTACTTGACTTTGCTAATGTCTTAGCGTTCACCCTTCTGACTCTCCTCCACTCGAGAAACGAGTAACCAAACTTTACTACCATCCCTGACAAGAAAATAGGTCACTGACCTGTGGTCAGAAGGAGAGGACTTCCTGACCTCCCCAGCGGCTCACACAGAGAGATGACGTAGATGATGTCAAGTGTTTAATGTCAGAGAAGGTGTTGCAGAAACCACGACAGTTCCATTGAATTATTTTATAATCAATTATGTGTTTGAGGCAGCATTCTTTGCAAAGGTTTCCCTCTTTAATTTCACAGGCGGTTTCTCTTTTGGAGGTTACTTTAGTTTTGAAACCTCCATATAAGGCTCTTCATCAGATATGTCAGAAAACTCACTCATGGATTGAGCTTATGATTTTTTTGAGACTTTAGAGACAGCTGCTTTCACTCTTTGTTTGTTAAGTGGGTTCTTACTGGCTTTTGTAGAGCCCACATTTCTGATTGTTACTCCTGTTTTAGTTATAGAGGTTTTGGTCTTTGAGTTCGCCTTTTCCTCTGATTGTGCAGATGGGATCAATAAACATTTTGCATGGTGAGTAAGAGCTTCAGGATACAAAAAGTATCTGTTTGAACCCCAGGTCTTAGTAGATTTCAACACACTAGCAAATGTTTTTGCTGCAATGGTGCACTAAAGTGACCATGCAACGAGCCTCTAGATATGATACGTTTTCCACAGTTTTCACTCGTTGAATCTCCTTTTCTCTTTGCCATGCAGGGCATTTCCAGGAGTAGAAAGGATGGGCATCTTTGCAGTTCACAGTGTGAAGTACTTTCACGTTCAGTGCTGTCGTGACCTTCTGTTCCACACTGTGCACATAAGCTTTTGCCTCGGCAGGAAGTCTGGGAATGTCCAAATCACTGGCATTTGAAGCAACACAGCAGATTTGGAATATACGGACGAACTGAGCAACACAAGTATCCTGCCGTAACGAAGGATGGAAATGTCAGATTGTCGAACGTGAGAATTAGATGTTTTGTGAGTATCAACTTGCCGTCTCCACAAATCGAAATGCGTCGGACAGAAGTGACACCTTGGTCCAATAGGCCGATCTGAATGTCTGATTCATCTTCAAACATCAAATCGAACTCAGATATCACACCACGTAATGAGTTCAAACTTCTGTGTGGTGTGACTAATATTCCCATGTCTCCAAGAGTCTTCATTGTCGAAAGCTTTGTTGTTTGTTGAGGAGAGGCTATTTCCACTATTAAATCCCCTGATCTCAATTTTTGTATGCTTTTTAGGTGCCCGATGGTTAATTCAAATAGCTTTTGAATAAAAAAAGGAGAACACTTAGAGAGGAGTTTTTCTCCAGTTGCGTGCACTATTAAGTAAACAGGTTGGCTAAAGGTCTTTTCTTTCGTCATAGATATTGTTGCTGTGTCAGCATGTTTTGAATTTTTTGGATCCATGATTAAAGTTTAATTATTCGGCTCCCAGTGACCCCACCCATCATGGGGCCCAACGAGGAATGCCGTCACATGGGAGACTCTCATAGACTGTCACACCAGGGTTTCCCAGGAACGATACTATCACAATACAGTCGAGAAAAGCACATCTTGTCTGACGTGTCCGCCTGGTCTGCATTGATCAGTTGACTCCAAGCCGAGGTCAAGAATGACTCAGCGACCAGCCGATTGACTCAAACAGAGCCTGATTTGAGCCTCCCGTTTATCCGAAGCAGGGGCCAAAGCAGTGTGTTGGAAATGTTATGTTGCCCCTCAACTACCAGGATCCCCCTTTCTGGCATACGGGATACCACGCATGGCAAACACATGGGTGGGCATTCAGATCCCAAGGATAGTAAAGAAGACTTACTAAACCATCTCTGGAATGTCCCCTCACCACGGAACAGAACCCACATCGAGGGGTTATTGACAAACACGCCTAGTGGTGAAACAATGAGGTTCAAGCAGCTATTAAAGAGGAGAGCAGAGGAGGTTAAAGCAGAGGAGGTTAAAGCAAAAAAATTCACCCTAAAGGCATGGAGAAAAACATGGCTTGATACTGATCTCCAACACTAGAAAAGTATAAAGTCAGCAACAAAACAAGCAGTGGCCATAGCAAAAGGCCAACAACTACCAACAGTTATATGCTCAGTTGGACATGCCAGTTGACTCTTATCCACATCACAAGCCAAATTTTCAAAAATCAGAAAAGGTCAGCCAGAGCATGGCTCATCATTTACATTAATCAGCTCCTTTACTTGCCCAAGTAATTTAAAAAGTCATTTTCTGTTTTTTACAAAGTTAATACTGAAAAATAAATTGTCGTTACCTTGAGTTGTTTAATTTTGTTCTAGAATGTTACAGTGATACAAAAAACATAACAAATGCAATGTCTATCAAACTATGGTCCACAGACGCTTCCAAGTCCGAAAAGTTTTTTGGAAACACATCCAAGATCTCATGTGATTGAGGTGAGCAAAGTTTTGAGGTAGCCTCGTGACATGTTTTGCACCTCCACTCTCCATGGCAATACTTCACGAAAGAAACGAGCTTAAGCAATAGCAATCGAATGATGCACAGTCTGTAAGTAATCCTATTGTTTTTTGTTTATAACATTTTATATATTGATCAGCAGCAAAAAGTTTGGTTTTATTTATTTTTTGGAAATGCCTATTAAATGTGTTTTTATAAAAAGAACAATGAAAGAATTCACGTAATAAAAAAAAATCAATAGTTTTACGGAAATTAAGTTGACAACTA